TTTTCCACTTAGTTTTTTAAAATCTTTTGAAAACTATTATGCATTTTCTAATTTGACCTCTCAAAAGTAGGTACCAACTTAATTTACTTTTTTTATCAGAAAAGACGCAGAAGTTGGATACCGAAGCAATATTTCTATTACAGAATATTTTACAGACAAAAAAAACACACATCATTGTAAAATATAATACATTCATCACTYCGTTCAGAAACTAAAATAAACACCATCTTCCTAAATGGGTTGYAGAGGTTATAAATAAAATAATAATATATTCTGCAAGATAATAAGGACCTAGGTGGCATCACATCAATAGGTAATTTCAGTAGTAAATATAGTAGTCAATAGTCATATTTCTTAATTCCACGTGAAATACCTACGTTTTAAGTAGGTACTTTTATGTTACAAACTACTATTAAAATAAATAATTAATTTAGTTTTACCAAAATTTATTTCGGTTCAAACAATTATGATGAACCAGAATAATATGACAAATTGATTTTAAAATTAAGTAAAAATGCAACTGCTATAAAAAAAAATTTATTTTACCGAAGTCACTCCGTAAATGAATGCTCGTCTTGCCAATGGTCCAGGTCCGTCAACAGTCTTACCATCATCTTCTGGACCCCAAGAAGCACTGTATATATCTATATGATTGATGTTTAAACCTAACGCGCGAGCTTCAACAGCATCGTTTACTGTACCATCTAACATTCTTACTCCTGAAAAAAAAAATAATACAATAACTTAATATTAAAGAAGAAATTATGAGTAATATTATTGTCAAGGGAAATTATTTTATCATATAATTTTTATTGTATAACCTATATACTTTTTGTAGTAGTTTATTGTATTATGTAATGTGTATATTGAATTGTTTAAATGAAAGTTCAGGCCGCAGTACCATGGATTCATCTGACCCCCCTCCCTTGTGAGGGCCTTGCCTAGATCGTATTGCTAGAGAATGTAATGAGCTTAGAGATTTGGATCTTCACCTTAAATGTAAGTTAAGTTAATATGCTAATTCTTCTTAATATATGTTGTTATTATCTTCTCCATAGGCAATACCTTTGATTTTAATTTAATTTAATTGTTACTTTATGATTGTAATTTAAATTGTACTTGTTATCATTTTTATATATTCTTGTATTATTAACTATATTATTTTCAATACTGTACTTGAGCCTTAAAGGCGTTTATTTAAATAAATGAATATATATGAATATGTAGGTATACAACGTTTGCTGAAAGGATGTGCAACTAAAAATGAGTTGTGGAGATTTGTGTGGTTGTCATGGGGTACGACAGGTTTTGGTTTGTGCGCAATCATATTCTATCATTGAAAAGAGAATGGTAGTATATAATGTACATTTTTTTTTTTTTTAATAATAAATTGATATGTTTTTATGTGCTTCTCTATCATCAATTGGGTATAATTTATTTTTGAGTAATATCAATTATGTACTGTTTAAGCGTTGATTGATAATTTCAGCGCAATATACCTCAAAAAATTAATGATATTTAAGGCTTAATCATATCTTTGTATTAGTATATTATAACTGTACCTCCAATACTGGCATTGTATGCCACGCCRATACCACAATACTGGTTAAATGCGATAGCAGCTACTTCACCGGCGCACCTMGTCCCGTGCTTGTTGTCACCATTGTCCCGAGGCATAGGGTCATCATCATTGTCGTTTATATCGGTACTAGCACTTGGGTCCTGCATAAACAAATTTAGCACATTTTCAATTAAAAATCACAATAAAATTACACTGTTGTTGTCAACTTAATATATATACATATATAGAGACTAACTTTAAACTAAAATCAATATACAATGTTTAGCATTTACAAGGAACTCAAGTAATCAAATAGTGGAGTATATTAAACATGGATATTGTTTGTGACAAAAATATAGGATAAATACAATATTATATAATTYATAGAATATATTTCTATATATTCGTATGACTTATCATGAAAATAAATATATTTTAAGCAAGTTTATAACTATAACTCTATTATACATTATTAAAATTATTTTTATATATTAATCATCCTTCATTATTNGTACATCATTTCACAATAGTTTATAAAAACGAATGTTATGAATTTAAAACTTCAAATATTTCTTTGAAAATGTTGTAATATTGGGATTTAACACTTGATATTTGAATACGAGAATAATTATATTACACAGCTTATATTTTTATAAAATCTCAAAGATATTTAATTGGATCATAATTTTATTTTATGAATAATTAACATTTACGTTTAAAAAATACCCTTAACAGTAAAACTATACTTCGTTTATGAAAATAAAATKAAACTTTTTAAAACATAAAATAATACAATATATTGACATAAGCCTATAAGTAAAGGATTTAACTATTTAAGATGAATTTCAAAAACAGCATAGTTTCTGTATCTTGTTTGAAATTATTAATAATTATTTTTGCAATAGAGAGAAACTGACGTACAGAATAGTTAGGATCATAATTTTCAGTACGGTTCATGATATTCGTGTACCTAATAATAATATTGTTACAATATTTCCGTAGTTATTGAAGCACCCTATATATGAATTGTTATTATAATATTATGTGTTGTCTACAATATGTATAATTTATATTATCATTGTATGTATATATAGATACTAGATTGACTTATTTGACTGGTAAACATTATTACAGTAATATTATAAACGTTGAGTTCCAACTTATGACATACCAATAATTCACGTTAGAAAGTAATAAATACTTCAATTAATTCCAAAAAAAAAATTGATGGTTTTAAAAGTGGTAAGATTATGTAATAGATTTTTAATATCATATTATGATTTGTTTCTAAAACCTTCAAATCCTTTTCTAGAACTATAATATGAATATTAGCCGTAAAAAGTAGGACGGGCAGGTTACATACACTTATTAATGGACATTCGTTTAGACTAGTTCAACTCAGTACTACAGGGAGGTACTGGATAGTGGAAGTTGTTGAAAGSAATAATATGTTTTCTTCGTAACTATAGGTAATAATCATTGTATACGAAAAACAATTCTGAGTGGTGTCGGCCTGTCAGTCAGTCTACATTATAAAAATATTTTTATATTAAAAAAAAATAAACTGCGATTGTTATTATTCGTTTAAATATATAATTTCGTCAAAATTTAAACTCAAAATGTTCGTGAAAAAAACTGAGTTAACATAAATTTTTAAATTTAATGGTTACAGTAAGAAAAATTTACGTGAAACTTTCTTATAAATTCTCAATCCTAAGCTAAAAAAATGAAGGTTTTATAAATTTTTAGCAAAAAAAATAATTTACAAATTTTCATTCACTACATCTTAACTACAAATATTTTATAAAAAATAGCTGTTAGTGAAAATTAAAAAAAAAGTTCAAAGTAAATCTACAATAGTTTTTTATGAACGCCTAAATTTAGAATAATGACAAAATCTTCAAATTTTCATGATTTTGACGAATTTTATCAAWATTCTACTTTAGAAGCTCATAAAAAAATCATTGTGAAKTTACTCTTAACTTTTTTTTCATATTTCTACTAACAAAAACTTTGTGAAGAACCTAGTATTAATAATTTAAATTTAGTTTAGACATTTTTTTGTATCGAAATTAGTTTTAAAAAATCTAATAAAAATCAAAAATTTCTTATGCCTTTAAATAGCTTAAAATTAGTAGAAATATTTTGAACATTTTATGGCGTATATAAATTGGTGATACTTATAAACATCTGATGAAAATTAAAAATATCTACGATTATTATTTTTTTAGTTACCTACACCAAACAACTTAATTGGTTTGGTCGAAAACAAGGTTTGTATAAAAACTCTGTTTTTTCTTAAGTTTTTGTCTGTTTTTCCACTTAGTTTTTTAAAATCTTTTGAAAACTATTATGCATTTTCTAATTTGACCTCTCAAAAGTAGGTACCAACTTAATTTACTTTTTTTATCAGAAAAGACGCAGAAGTTGGATACCGAAGCAATATTTCTATTACAGAATATTTTACAGACAAAAAAAACACACATCATTGTAAAATATAATACATTCATCACTYCGTTCAGAAACTAAAATAAACACCATCTTCCTAAATGGGTTGYAGAGGTTATAAATAAAATAATAATATATTCTGCAAGATAATAAGGACCTAGGTGGCATCACATCAATAGGTAATTTCAGTAGTAAATATAGTAGTCAATAGTCATATTTCTTAATTCCACGTGAAATACCTACGTTTTAAGTAGGTACTTTTATGTTACAAACTACTATTAAAATAAATAATTAATTTAGTTTTACCAAAATTTATTTCGGTTCAAACAATTATGATGAACCAGAATAATATGACAAATTGATTTTAAAATTAAGTAAAAATGCAACTGCTATAAAAAAAAATTTATTTTACCGAAGTCACTCCGTAAATGAATGCTCGTCTTGCCAATGGTCCAGGTCCGTCAACAGTCTTACCATCATCTTCTGGACCCCAAGAAGCACTGTATATATCTATATGATTGATGTTTAAACCTAACGCGCGAGCTTCAACAGCATCGTTTACTGTACCATCTAACATTCTTACTCCTGAAAAAAAAAATAATACAATAACTTAATATTAAAGAAGAAATTATGAGTAATATTATTGTCAAGGGAAATTATTTTATCATATAATTTTTATTGTATAACCTATATACTTTTTGTAGTAGTTTATTGTATTATGTAATGTGTATATTGAATTGTTTAAATGAAAGTTCAGGCCGCAGTACCATGGATTCATCTGACCCCCCTCCCTTGTGAGGGCCTTGCCTAGATCGTATTGCTAGAGAATGTAATGAGCTTAGAGATTTGGATCTTCACCTTAAATGTAAGTTAAGTTAATATGCTAATTCTTCTTAATATATGTTGTTATTATCTTCTCCATAGGCAATACCTTTGATTTTAATTTAATTTAATTGTTACTTTATGATTGTAATTTAAATTGTACTTGTTATCATTTTTATATATTCTTGTATTATTAACTATATTATTTTCAATACTGTACTTGAGCCTTAAAGGCGTTTATTTAAATAAATGAATATATATGAATATGT